TGCATTTATTTTGGCTTATTTGACTGGGTAATTTTATTATATTTGTCCTTCCAATTTGCAAAGATTATTCTGAGAATAATTTTTCTGTTAAATATTGTTTTAATATATGACAAAATGTTTTCATTTTTAAGTAGGAATATACACCACCTACAAACACAGCAGCAAGAAAGCTACCTACTTAAAAACGAACAAAGTGGCTAAAAGCCTAAACCCATCAGACAGGTGATCAGCAGCTGTCAGAAAGCTCCATCAGTTTCTTAGGTACACTGGGGACAAGTAATTTCCACTTAAAAGATCACATTCATGGCACAACACACATTTAAGCCTAATAATTCATTCTCCATAAAGCCACTGATTAAATGGATATTTTCTCCTTTTTTGGTATAATCTCAAATATTTTATCTTATTTTGATTCTACTTTTTCTTAATCACTGTTGACAATCCCATCTTTAAACTGCTTACTTATTTTTGTTATTTAAGTCTAGTTCCATGTTAGGTGTACTGTTATAAAGAAATAAGACTAATAATTTTTCAGTATTACTTCTCTAATTACTGAGGCTAATATGAAAAATCACTAAAAATTAAACATTGAAAATCTGGCAATTAAATTGATTGATTTGGTATCTTAACGTGAAGATTAGGAACAGTTTTCTGAAACACAAACCTGAGGTAATTTTTCTGGAATAGGCTCATTCTGGAGAGCTTGAAGGGCCTTCATTGCAGCATTATGTCTAGCAGCTTGACGAGTCTTTCCTTCACCAAAAAACTCACTGTTGCCAACAGTTAACTGGACATAGAAAATTTTAGGCACTGGGCAGTGATACCTGGAAAGAAGTCATGAAAAGAAAACAACAATACAAGTTACGAATTTTAACCATCAATTTTATGTAACAGAGTAGTTGTTAGGGACAAAACATTATCTTTTCTCACAGAATAAGACTTAGCACTCAAATACATGGACTGTTCCTCAGCAAGGCTGTCAGTAACTCTGACAGCAGCTCCTACATGCAAACCAGCTCTTCACCAACATTTGCACGGCTCTGCAACGAGCTCTACTATACTTCAGCCCAACAGCCCAGCCCTGCTCTCTTCTTGGTTTGAGTCTCGAGAAGATTAAACCTAAAGAGAACCAGAAGTTCCAGTGGAAGCCATGCCTGGGAGACAACTCCTGTCCCACAGGAAAGTGGCACTGACGAAGGAGGATTGTGAGGTCTGTCATCTGAAACCTGCCGGCATAGCTCAGCTCTTGGGGACAACAAAAAGTCAGACTGCAGAAAGTGAGGGATCTGGACATCATACTTCTGCTTTAAAGCTCAAGTATTGAAATTGTTGTAGAGGATAAGAAGGAATTCTCTTCCAAAAGCATTAACAGGGGACAGGGAGAAGCTCTCCTCCAACTCTAATAGCCAAACATTTTCCAGGAACTGAAAAAAAAAGCAGCAATCACAACCACATTGCTTTCCTTTATTTTTTCCATACTATAGAGAAATTTCCAAGTACAATGAGAGGGTTTGTTTTTCTGAGTATGTCTGAAAGACATCGAAGGAAAGATAAAGCAAAAAAATTGAATGTTTTCCTATGAACTGGCACAGCCACTATTCCTCAAAGGCGGCAGTATCTTTATTCACATCATCAACTCCACACCTCTATTTTCAGTAGCAGAAATAGGTAATCCAACCCATACTCCCTATCCTCAAACCTGTCTCTCGCTAGTCGCGAATGAAGAGATGTAATGTCATTCTTGGGTTTGGGAGGTCCTGCCACAGCACTGTGACAACTACAAACATAAGGGCTTGTCCACCTAAGCAATTTCTACAGAAAAGTAGTATTCCATCCCCACTTTCCGACTCAGGAAAAACAACTCAGCACAGATAATTAGTTCTAATCACTGTTAAAATTATAATCTTTTAAGAGAAAAGTTCTCCAATTATATTCTACATAGGTGAGGGAATTTGCTTCATACTCTTCGCTCCATGGTCTAGTCTGCCTGTGCTATTTCCTCAAACGAAGGCTTTTCCAACACACTGGAGATTCAGTCCTTGGAAAAATATATACCTATCAGAAATGATTTCTCATATATGACAAATAACTTGTACGTATTTTACAGCCATGTAAAAAAGCTCAGGATTGCAAAAGCGTGGCCAAAAGCTAGGTCTGTCACAACAACACAAGAATCACTCAAAAGCACAGCAAAGTACTACACTTTCCTTCTCCCTCCTAAAGGACCCTTATTAAAGTACGCTGTCTCCATTTTCATCTGTTGACATGGATAGTGATTTTTTTTGTATGAAGATTTTCTGACTTTTCATTAATAATTGTAAAAGATTTGTTCCAACTATGAAACAAAATTAAAAGTTCTTCAGATAGCAGCAGGCTTCAAACCCAAATAAGTATGAATAGGCACTCCAGCCTCAGTGTTGCTGAACTTTGTACCTAATTCTAAAAATACGTTTATACGGAAAGAGGAAAACCATAATACTGGTTCCAACAAGCCTCTGGCTATAGGGCCTCGGAGGGGTGAGCTAAGTTGCCTTTACGACATGCAAAAAGTGGGTATTTGCTTTCCTGTTTACAGTTTAACATAGTTATAGGGAATTATTAAGGCATAAATGGAAATGCATTTGCTTATGTAACATTTTCATAAAATTATAGAATAACTCAGGCTGGAAAGGCTCCTGGAGGTTATCTGGGCCAACACAGTGCTCAAAGCAGGGTCAAGCTCTGAAGTTACAGTCTTGTTCAGGCATTGTCCAGGGTATCATGGATATCTCCAAGGATGAAAATTCCACAACATCTCTGGCCAACCCATTCCAGTGTTTTGACCACTCTTTCTGGGAGAACTTTACAAAGCTTCTAAATGCATTATGAAACTCAAACACCACAGCACCATTTGTTATCAAAGCAGCTGTCAAACCAAAGAAACAGCTACTTCAATGTCCTTCATTGCTTCTGACATAAAGCATCCCCCTTCTGCCTCCCACTCCTTCTAAAAGGTACAAACACAATACCAGGACACTACCAATGTGACAAAATCTACAATAAAAAAGATAAAAATAAATAAAATAAACACTTCAGACTGAGATTTACCTCAAAAAGAATGGTAGTTTTTCAAGTGAAAGGGACAATTTTGCCCTTTCCCTTCACTTAATGAGTTTACGTAAAATGCTTCCTATATCAACAATTCCCCAAGATTTATTAGTTTTATTTGGTTTGCAATATTGGTTTAGGGAATATTAAAAATAAATTAAAGGAATATGCAGGCAATAGATGTAAATAATACCTTGAAAGAGTTTATACCTAAGAATCAGGAACAGGGCTTTGACACCAAACATAGGTCAAACTGTATTTCCAAGGTGAAAAATATTACACTTCTTTAAAATCAAGGGAAAAATAGCTAAAAGCTTCATCAGTATAGTCACCATCAACTCCACTTCTTCCACAGCTTCCACAGATTAGAGCTGTCTGTCCCTGGCTCCTCTACACCACTAATGACTCCTCTGAAAGTCTTTCCTCAGTTTACCACAGAAACACAGAATAGTTGAGATGGGAAGTGACCTCTGGAGATCCTCTAGTCCAAATCCCCTGCTCAAAGCAGGTCAGTTAGAGTAGACTGCTCAGGGCCACTTCGTGTTCAGTCTTGGCAATCTGCTCTGGTGTTTGACCACCTGCACAGTAGGAAAGTATCTTCCTTTCTTATGATTAAACAGAATTTCTTGTATTTCAGTTTGTGCCTCTTTTTCACTGGATACCACTAAAAAGAGCCTGGCTCCACTTTCTTTATTCACTCCCTTCACATATTTTATCCACATGGATAAGATCCCCCTGAGCCTTCTCCTCTCCTGGCTAAGTCTCAGCTCTCTCACTCTCTCCTCAGATGAGAGATGCTCCAGTCCCTTAATCACCTTAGTGGCCCTTCGACAAATTTGCGCTGGTCTGTCCGTGTCTCTGTGGTACTGAGGAGCTCAAAGCTGGACCCAGCACTCCAGATGCAGCCCTTCACCAGGGCTGAGTAGAGGGGAAGGGTGATCTCCCTCAACCTGTTCACAAGTCTCTTCTAAACAAAGCCCAGGATGCTGTTGGTCACCTTTCTTGCAAGGGCACATTACTTGCTCATATTTAACTTGTCATCCACCAGGACTCCCAGGTCCTTTTCTGCAAAGCTGCTTTCCAGCCAGTTGGCCTCCACTGTATAGTGATGTATGGGGTTATTCCTGCCCAAGTGCAGGGATTTACATTTCCCTTTGCTGAACTTCAAGAAGTTACTGTCTGCCCACTTCTCCTGGATGTTGAGGTCCCTCTGGATGGCAGAGGAACACTCTGGTCCATCAGCCACTCCCCCCAGGTTTGTATCATCTGCAAACTTGCTGAGGATACACTCTGCCACATCCCCTAGATCGTTAATGAAGATATTGAACAGTACTGGCCCCAGTATTGACCGCTGGTGTACACCACAAGTGACTGGCCTGCAGCTACACTTTGTGCCACCGGTCACAACCCTTTGAGCCTAACTGTTCAGTTTTCAAACTGCTCTCCGGCCATGCTTTATGAGTTCATGAGACAGTGCCAGTAGCCTTGATAAAGTCAAGATAAACAACATCCGCTTCTCTCCTCTCATCCATCGAGCTAGTAATCTCACTGTGTAAGGTTATCAGATGGGTTAGGCACAATCTTACCTTTTTTAATCCATGCTGACGACTTACAGTCATCTGTCATTGTTAATATGCTCAGAAACGGTTTTCAAGATGATATCCCCCATCGTCTTCTCAGGGACTGAAGTGAGGCTGACTGATTTATTATTTTCCCAGATCCTTCTTCTTGCCCTTCTTGAAAATAGGAGTGAAATTTATTTCTTCCAGTCCTCAGATACCTCCCCAATCACAGTAATCTTTCAAAGATAATCAAGAGTTGCATCACTATGACATCATTCAGCTCCCTGAGCACTCATGGGTGCATCTCATCAGGCATCATGGACCTGCCCTGTCTGTTTCAATGTTCTCCAATCTGATTCTGCTCCATCAAAGGTAAGTCTTACCTGCTCCAGACCTCCCTACTGATCTCAGGGACCTAGGCCACTCTTATTAGTAAAGACTGAGATGAAGGCATTTTGAGTACCTCCATGTTCTCCATGTCCTTTGTCATCAGGTCCCCTGCCCTACTCAACAGCGGGTCCCTAGTCTTCCTTTTGCTGCTGTAGAATTCCATCTTGTTGCTCTTGACATCCCTTTCCAGATTCAACTCCAGAGGGACTTCAGTTTTCCTAATCCCATACCGGTACACTTGTACAGTGTCTCTATATCCATCCTGCATCACAAACTCTGTTTGAGTTTAGTCAGAAGTTCCTTGTTCATCTATGTAGGCTTCCTGCTGCCTTTGCTTGACTAGCTGCACGTCAGTATGGAGGGTTAAACTGTTCTTGAGCTTGAAGGAGGTGAACCTTGACAAGCTCTCCTGGACTCCTCCTCTCTCTTCAGGATTGTTTCCCTTGGGATTCTTCCAAGCAGGTCTCTGAAGATACCCAAGTCTGCTATCCTGAAGTCCAGTTTGTGATCTGTGATATTTGCCTTGTTCTCTCCTCTCAAGATCCTGTCACTGTCTCATGGTCACTGCACTGACCCTAACCTTCACATCCCTGACCAGTTCTTCTTTGTTTGAAAATGTGAGCTCCTCAATTGAGGAAATGTAAGTTTCCTCAGCCACCTATGTCAGAAAGTTGTCATTTATGTACTCCAGAAACCTTCTGGATTGCTTGTGCCCTGCTGTGATGTCCCTCCAACACATACTGGGGTGGCTGAAGTCCCCCATGAGGACCAGAGCCTATGG